TTAATCTCTGCCGTTGGATATAAAAAAATTTGAATTCCAACACTCCAGATTGTGCCACGTGTCACAACGGTAACTTTTCTTATTTTTAAAACTATTTTTTCTTTTATTTTTTTATTTATAAAGAATATTAATATCCACCGTTGATCTCAGATTGAACGGTGGATATTAAATCTGACTTTTTTATTTTTTTTGACCGTTGAGATCGAACGGTCCAAATTAAATAACCGTTGAGATCTAACGGACCGTGGGAAGCCACGTGGCTTCCCAACGGTAACTGACAAATTTTTTTTTTTTTTTTTTTTTGATTTTGTGTCGGCGACGCGCCCCCACATGCTAGTGGGGTGCACGCACCTGACACAAAAAAAATTAAATATTGCGCTGACGCCAGGCTGACGTCACATGGCCTCAGGCTCTCGAGCTGGCAATTCCCCACGAGCCCGGAGCTCGGGCCTCCACCTTCCCTCGGGCTAGCCCACGCTGGAGCTGATCCATCGGGCCTCGGGCCCTTGTTCTGTTCCCTGTCCCCCGAGCTATAGCCCACGCTGGGCTTGCTCTCAAGGCACTTGTCCTTTTTTCTAAAGAAAAACATTTAATCATCTACCGTCTCAAAGTCGAACTCCCTTTGAACTTTGACATGATGATGGTCCGAGACCTTTCTCTTCTCCTGTTTCGAAAATGACAAAATGTTATGGGATTTTATTACTTTTGCTTTATTTATTTATGAATACTATTTTCTATTCATTCAAAATTCAAAATTATCTCAAAACCCCAAATAGCCGGCCAAAGGACGAAGAGAGACTCAGACCAGAGGGAGAGGGAGAGACCGAAAACAATGGAGACAACACCACTGAGAAAGCCTCGCAGAGACACTGCCGATATGCTGACGTGGAAAGAGGTCCCACACTCCGACTCTCCGCCCACCGCCTCCTCCGCCCACCGCTCTCATCAGGTTCCTTTACTTTCCACTTCAACATTACTCAGTAGTCAATGTAAATTTCTTCTTGCTTTCTTTCTTGGTGATGGTGAATTAAGAAAGCTAATCAAGCTCAAGAGGTGCATTTTCAGCCGTCGGATGGAATCAGCAAGGTGCTCCATGGCGGTCAGATCACTGATGAAGAAGCTCAGAGCCTCAACAAACAGTGAGATCTCCTCTCAACTCAGATCTAGCTATTAATTTAGTGGTGCATGCTTCATTACTATAATTTTCTGCTAATTACCCATTAACCTGCTCAAACTGCTGAATGAAGGCGACAAAATTTTCTGTTTTCTGATCTGAAGAATATTTACTTTGATTGTTTTATATTCATGTGATCCTAATTTATGTTTTCTGATAAGACGATATTCTAAACTACTCTAATATCCGAGGCAGTTCACTGCCTTGCCCGACTAGCCTAACCCACGTATGTCTACAAATGCTTGCAATGAAACCCAATTTTTTTCCTTCTCTTTTTTTTTCAAATTTGCCCATCTTAGATCCACCAAGAAATCAGTACTTTTTTTTTTTTGGTAAAAAAAATCACTACTTTAAGTTTAAAGTATATGGTTAATGGTCAATATTGAAAATCTAAAACCCAGATGAAATGTGGTACAGGAAGCCTTGTTCAGGCTATAAACTGAAGGAGATTACTGGAAATGGCATATTTGCAGCAGGTTCAGGCAAGGATGCTGCACCAGAATCTAATAATGCTAGTAACAAAACAGGGCTTCGTATTTATCAGCAAGCACTCAATGGAATCAGCCAAATCTCATTCAGTGTTGATGAACGTGTCACGCCTAAGAAGCCTGTCACTGTTCCTGAGGTTGCCAAGCAGCGTGAATTGAGTGGGACATTGCAGTCCAACTCCGATTTAAAATCCAAGAAGAGTGGATCAAATGCCAAGTCAAAGGAGCTCACTGGAAATGACATCTTTGGCCCTCCTCCTGAAGTCGTGCCTCGATCATTGGCTGCTGCTCACACCCTGCAAACTAGAGAAACCAGAGACATTGGGGAGCCTGCACCCCGAAATCTACGCACCTCTGTCAAAGTTTCAAATGTGAGTTTACTGATTCATTTTGTTTTTGTGAATGAATGTTTTCATTCATATCTTCTTTTCTCAGCTTTAGTTATGATAATTAATCAATTAGGAAATATAACACTAGATAAATTAGACTTCCATAATTTTGGTTTTAAGTATGCAATTGAGGGTTCTCCTGTTTAGGGTTTGTTGTCAAATAGTCGTCTAGTATGTTAGGTTGTCAGACTGTTAGTTTGGACCATTCTTTCCAACAAGAATTAATTGGATCAAAGTTTCAAAATTGATAGCCTAGAAAGATAGCCTGCTGGAGAACGCTTTCCTGTAATCCAGGTATGTATTACTCTGCCGAGTAATCCTAGACTATCTTGCGAAGTAACATTTCTTGAATTGTTGTATTGAAATTTACTTTTTGTCACACAGCCTGCTGGAGGTCAGAGTAATATTATGTTCAGTGAGGAACCTGTTTCCAAGACTTCTAGGAAAATACATAACCAGAAGTTTGCAGAGCTGACAGGGAATGATATATTTAAAGGTGATGTTGCTCCAGGGTCTGCTGAAAAGCCCCTAAGCACGGCTAAGCTGAGAGAGATGAATGGCAGCAACATCTTTGCTGATGGAAAGGCATCATCCAGAGACTATCTGGGTGGTGTTCGCAAGCCCCCCGGTGGAGAGAGCAGCATTGCCTTGGTTTAACTCATAATCCCTGACTTGTTACTTTCCTTTATCATCAATAAAGTCGGTCCCATCATATGATTTCCCATAGCGGACTCTGTGTTCTGACTTGTAAAACCCTTCTTGCCCGCCCTGATGAGATGAGCATCTTCGATCTCTAGGGTTTTGGGGCGTTGGATGTGAGACTGAGTTGTAGCCATACAGTTATATGTGGGTAGTGCATGAAATGTAGTCAGAAAAATATGCAGGAGGTTTTGACTAATTGGTTATTACAAGCATGTTTATCTCAGTTTCAAGTTTGTGTTCACTTGTTTCTGGGCCTATTTCATTTACAAAATAGATGATAATTTAAGAATTTTTACACTCTTCTTCTACTTGCTTGGTCCAGCCATTGGTGTCAAGAAAATCTGGTTGAGATGCTGTTTTTTGGATTGAAAAAGGTGGAAAAGTTCGTAATTTAGGTTAATTTTAAGGGAAATTATTTCCGCACTTTCTTTTTCTCCCCATGCGCTACTCTCTCATTTTTTTTGTCCTAGTCACTGGATTGAATAAATCAAGGGACGTCAAGTGATGGATAGTTTAGAAATAAATTAAGAAGTGGAGAAAACGAGAATGCGAAAATGATTTTCCAATTTTCATTACTTGAAGAAAGTTTACAGTTCCAACTCTAGCTTATTAGATCCTTCTGAAAGAAAATGGACCTAAAGGGGCTAGTTTGTGAAAAAATAAGTTGTGTTTAATTTGCACCTTAATGTGGCTCTTGAAGCACAAAAAAACGAAGCCAATGAAGCACTCATTGGTGTGGTGTGTATACACCCCGTGGCGTCGGGACGTGACATGAAGGTTTCTCCTGAAGGGAGTTGCAAGTTTGGTCTCAAGAGCAGTAGTTTGAGGGCGAATCTATGAAAGTTTCTCCTGAAAGGAGTTGCGGGTTTGGTCTCAAGAGCAGTAGTTTGAGGTCTTCATAGATTCGCAGTGAACAACAAAATCTTAATTTACTAAATTAGTGAAGTTATTTTGTTAAACTAGAGATAATCGAACCCTAAACTCACCCTAAACTCGCTACCAATCTAAGAAAGAAAGAAAGAAAGAAAGAAAAGAGAAACGAAACAATAATAATAACTCATGGAAAATAACCCTTATGGGATCAGCAGCGTTACTCAAGCATCTTCATGTCCGATCAGTTACACAAGAAACTTCTCATAGTCCCCGCGAGTGTCCTTGACAATCGCATGGTCCAAACGAACCTTGTTTCTCCGGTAGTATTCTTCTTTGATGCGCTGCAAGTCACCTCAGCCCGAGTGGTAAGAACTCTAGTAAGTGCTCCTCCATCTGTCCCAAGCTTGTTGATGGCCTGTCGAAGAACCTTCTCAAAGTATTTCTAAGGGAAGGTCAAGCTTTTGGTTGTTTGTCTCAGTAGTTTGAGGAACTCATCATCTTTGTCAGCCTTCAAATCCTGCGTATCGGACATGTAATGGTCACGCACTTGTTTGATGTATTGGTAATTATCATCTACACAATTCCGTTAGGTGTTTTGGTAATTACCATCTCTATGTGTGGGGTTTTATCACAAAAAACCTCGGTATTAGTTGAAATAGGATCAGGATATTTAAACTCTCCTTCTTTCATAAATTATGTCGACGTGGATATTTCAACACGTCTCCTCATGTGGGGATTCAATTAGTGGATCACACGTGGAAGATCCACACATCATCAACCATGTGGAGTCAAAGGGACTCACCCTACGCGCGGGCCAACGGACCGACCACCCTCACGCGGGGTCAACGGGACAAACCTATCATGTAGTTGTATGAGCCCACTCCTTGTCTCTGATACCATGTGAAAATTATCATAGAGACTAGCCGAAGGTCCACTTCAACACTGATACTATCTTCAACTTGTTAACTATCACCTGTATGATCCGTCAAATAAGAGGTTTCATTACAAAAAGCTTGAATTTTAGTTAAAATGAAAGTAGGATATTTAAACTTTTTATTTTTTTTCCACAAATTCAATCGATGTAATCTTCTTCGAGGGATTTCTTGTACTTTTCTTTTGCTTTTTGCCGTGTCGCGGAGTATGTGTAGCTGTCTACCACTGTCCATAAAAGCCGACGATGCTTCAAGTCAACCAACGCCGCATAAGTAAGCAAACCATAAAAATTTGAATAAAAACATAGAAACCGACTTCACTGGGGATCGAACCCAGAATCTCTGGTTTCGTAGACCAGCGCCTTATCCATTGGGCCATGAAGTCCTTGTTATTCTACCTTTCGTATGTCTTTATCAAAATTATACTACTACCGCTGGCGTACTTCTTAGCCTTGGCGTAGGTGAGTCGCCAGCAGACCAGCGACCCCAACAAAGTACGAAAAAGAAAGGCCATAGCTGATTAGCTTCGAGCTCACTCTTTCCTCTACCCATCTTTTATTCATCAATCTAAAAAACCCTTTTCCCTGAATCAGATAAAGCTCAAAGTTTCCTTCTTTTTGGATCGACCCTTTGACGAACTGGTCGGAAAAAAGGAAAATCAAGAAATCGGGAGTATTTTGTCTGACTCAGAATCAATGGAGTCAGTCAGATGATTGATAGAGATGATGCTTGATTGGTTGGATAGATTATAGATGTCAAAGGAAGAGATGGGTAGGCCACGGTCGTTTCGGAGCAAGGCTGCCCACTTTGTATCTGATCTCACCACTGTCTTCCTCAACCCCATTTCTGACAAACCCTCCAAACCCTCTCCTCCTCCTCCTCTCTCTGTAAGTCCTCTCTCTCTCTCTCTCAATGCTTTCTGGGTTTTTTTTGGGTTTTATGATATAAATGGTTTGGTGTTTTGTGGTATTTAGTCTTCTGATCATTTGGCTGCAAACCCAGTTCATGCTGAATCTCTGTCTTTAACTTGGATTATGGGTTTTCTTGGATCTTTTCTTCTGGAGCTACATATGATTGTTTAGAGACTTCTGTTATTAGGGATTTCAATTTTGCTTTGATTAGTTTTTGCAACCGAACTGTATGTTACAACCAAAATTCAATACTAATGGTTAGGAACTTAGCAGTTTTGGATAAAATCTTGAAGTCTGGATAAAATCATGTCCATGGAAAACTAAGATCAATTTATAGTTGGGTTAGGAGGAGTATGGAGGCATTTTGTTATTTATTGGAAAACATCAGACTCTGTGTGTTCAATTAGCCTTTAAAAGTAGTCGTTTGAGCTCTGATTGGATAGTTCTTGTTTCCGCAGGAAGATGTGGATGACTCCAAAAGAAGTCAAAATGGATCAATCAGCGAAGAGAATCCCGCTAATGTTGTTGATGGGCCCGACACGTCTTCCTTTAGTGCATTCCTCTACTCACTATTGTCGTCTTCAGAGTCTGGAGATACTAATAAAAATTCAGATGAGCAGATTGATGATCAGATGGATAGGAGCAACCCATCATCTGATTCCGCAATGAAAGGAAATGGTGGAAAGAGAAGTTTGCTTTCGAAGGGGAAACAGTCGCTTAGTAAAGTTATGTTCCAGGCTGCTAGATTTGGTGGGTATCGGAGTCAAGAGCGCAAGGGTAACCCTGACATGAAAGTTGATGATGCAAATGATTCGAACTTCACTAGAGTTGAGATTAGGCCTATGCAGAAAGCCCCAACGCCTGTGCCTTTGGTTGATCACCCAGACATTTCTGAACCTTCTTTACTTCTTACAGAAATAACTAGAACTGCTCTTTATGCTTCAATGCCAGCGCTTGTTCAAGGACGGAAATGGTTGTTGCTGTATAGGTACACAGGAATATTCATTTGCAGCATTACAGTTAGATCTTTTGAAAGTTTTTATTTTATCATTCCTATGCAACATTGTACAAATGTATTCCTCGTGTCCTGCAGTACATGGAGGCATGGCATATCATTGTCAACCCTATACAGAAGAAGCATGCTTTGGCCTGGCCTCAGTTTGCTGGTAATTATTAACCAAACTATTAGCATCATTCATTTCAACAAATTTCTATATGACCATTTTTAGACCAACTAAATTTGTTTATAGTACCGTGTTAAGTTCAAATCATCTAATAAGCAACAGGACGTGACACAAACTGAACAATTATCAATAAGATTCCTTGAGCTCATGCAGTTTGGGAAAGTATAATGAACAATTGCCTTAATTATTTGTTTGGATTGCTTCTGTAACTCGTTATCAAAGTTGCTGGTTTTTAAGTTCATAGTTCATATCGATGCATATTCTCCAAATAAAAATGTTCTACTTTATTTTTTTATTTTTTCACAGGTTGTTGGAGACCGTAAAGGTGCAGTTTTTGGCGGCTTGGTGGAGGCACCTCTTAGACCAACCAACAAGAAGTATCAGGTCCTGCTAAAAAGCATTTTGTCTATTGAGTTCATCTACAAAGATTTCATTCTATGTCTGGTAATCATGCTGACATTTTAAACAGGGAACAAATGATACATTTGTTTTCACAAATACACCTGGCCATCCTGTTATATTTCGCCCTACAGGTACCAATTTATCCTATTTACTTCCAGGGTATAAAGTTTCTAACTTTTCATCAACTTATTTAGGTGGCGGGCCTGGTCCTTTTCATGCCTTAAAATTGTTTTCTTATTCATATTAGATAGAGATAGAAACTTGAATACTTTTGCTTGCAATAAATATTCTGTGAGGGAGTAACTAAAATATGTCTCGTAATTAAATATGTTGAAAATGTATAAAGCACGCGGTCCAACATATAGTAGTAGTAGTAGCAATAGTATTTGTAGTAGTAGTAGTGGAGCGTTTTGAACCAATGTAATCTTATAATTTCTATTAGGTTAAACCTTTTTTGTAGCCTTCATTCTTCTGATGTAGCTTTTGTATTATGTGATTGCTTTCTTTAACTCTCATATTCTTAGTTTTATGGACTTTATCTGGTTCGGGTCCTAATGCCCAATTGCAGTCCTGGCACTTTTGATTCCATAAGCAACTGCACAGAACCAATTGTATGATCGATGTTCAATGCTAAATATACCATTTGAAATATTATACGATGGTTGTTTTCTTTCTGTTGGGGAAGGCTTGAGTATTGCATTTGGAATATGTTATAGTTTATCATTCATGAAACCATCTTAAGAGAGGAAAACCACTGTGTAAGTATTAAAATATTATGTTCTCTTCTTTTTCTTCTTCTTCGTCTTTTTTAAATACCTGAGTGGAATATATTAAACTAATTATGCTAGAATTAACTGCAAAATGTACAAGCAGGTGCAAATCGCTATTTCACATTGTGCTCCAATGACTTTTTAGCAATTGGCGGGGGTGGTCATTTTGCGCTATATTTGGACAGTGAGCTGTGAGAATTTTGCCTTCGTTTTTTTAATATTTTTTCTTTTCATTGTAGAACTCTTTTCTTATTTAGCAATCCTTCTTTATAAAGTGATTTAGAATTTTGTTCAGTTGCTTTTTTGCTCTTTTGTTCAATTTTTGCTTTTTTGGTCTCAGATTGAGTGGATCAAGCTCATGCTCCGAAACCTATGGGAATCCTTGTCTTGCAAACTCAGAAGACTTTGAGGTGAAAGAAGTTGAGGTATGCACAAATTCTCTCTGAGAGATGTGTGCGTGTGTGTATTCGTAGTGAATTCGGATTGTTTCCGAGGAAAATAGATGAAAATATTATGAAGTCATATACTTTTGTGTAATGCAGTTATGGGGCTTCGTATATGCTACCAAGTATGAGGAAGTACTTGCTCTAAGCCGTATGGAGTCACCTGGGATTTGCCGTTGGTGAATGCATAATTTAGACCGCATTTTTCTCTGATGGTTGCTGTATCATCACCATAACAACAGGTTTATTACTGTTGCTGGAGCTAGTCCTCCATGTACATAAACACCACCTTGGCATTGTACGACGGTTTTGATTAGGTAGTAATGATTGTGAATAGTATGCTGGTTGCCAATGCCTTTCTTATACACGTAACAAAAACACTAGGGTGTATTGCTCTTCTTCGAAACCTAGGCTGGACCGTGATCGTACGATATATTGCTCTTCGGATCTCTACGTGGGAAGGACGAATGAACATCTACAGCAAGGACCTTCTATTTCTTTAAATTTGCCACATTAATGGAACTATACAAGTATACAGAGATCATAAACGTATTAGCAGCTCAATTGCCCCAGCAAACATAAACGTGCCGGACTCGGACTCGGACTCAGACTCGGACTACAACTTTTTATCAGTGGCATTTGTCTGATTTTTTAACTACAAAGTGTAAAACGTACTTATTTCATACTGGAATTCAGGTTCTGTACCAGTTTTGAATGGATAATAAACAGGTCGGCAGCGTGACGTTAAAGCACTACTAAACAGACGTCTCTTGTATACAGAAGTGAACATTTGCGGGACTTGCATTGACCACGCAGCACGGCCAGAACTGGGAAAAGGGGAAGGGGTGGGGACCAATTTTGGCTATCTAAAGAGAGGCAGAGTTTTTGTTTCTTCCAAGCCAATGCAAAAAGTGTAAATTTGATCCCCACTGGCATGCTCCTGAAGGTGTCAAACCTCCTCAACTGCAGGTAGGAGTCAAGATTCGAGTTCAGGACTCCCATACAATTACCAAATCATCTGTCCACCTGTAAATCACATGTGATTTTGAAGACCCTCACTCCACGTACTTTCATGTTCAGCCTACACCTCGACTTGTCACGCTCATGGAAGGATGCACATCTCCACAGAAAGATTTATATGATCCCAAAATTAGTGTATAATATCATTATCACTGGCATAAGAAGCACTGAAAGATCTATAGCTCTTGCGTGTAAATTTCATCTTGATCATTTAAAGTCATCAGCTCTCAAAGCCCGGAGAATCCTGCCTGATAGGCATCCTGTTGCTGAGTTACCTTGATCTACCCTTGATTCATTCAAAAAGACTGAAAAACTGTCTTTAATTGAGTCCAGCCCTTTCTGTTCAAAAAAAGAATTTGAAAGAAAAGGTTTTGAAAATTCTTGAACTCGACGGCTTAGATGATGAGGATATAGAATCAGAAGTCGCGTCATCCCAACATCGCATGGATGAAGACTTCGGAGATGATAACAAAGACGACTTTTATGGGATCTGTCCTCCTATTCGTCCAAAGAAATAAAGCCTGAAATGCTTTTCTCTGAGAAAAGATAAAGTGATATAGACAAGAAAATGTGTTGTCTGATAACTAAATGCTGACAATTATCTTTTCTTTGAATAATTGTCCTTGGTTCTTGTAGTTTTTGTGAGTGTGCTTCTTTTTCAAGAATCTTTCTGTAGTATGCTTCTTTTTCAAGAATCTTTCTGTTCAACCACGTGAAGTTGAGTCAAATCCACTCCATAAAGTGAAGATGCCCCCCAATGTGCAAAGCTGCTTTATGGTGCCTCTCTGTTTTTACGACACGTGGACTTCCAATTTTCTTTTGGTTTTCTGTTTATAGGGCTTCTTGGCTTAGTTGTGTGTACATAATTATTTTCACTTGGTAAAATATTCTCTTTCGTGCTTTCCTTTTGAGTGCTATCTTTGTATCAGAACTCTGAAGTGCTTCCCTCTAAATTTGAACATCAAAAAATAAATGTGAGTTTACTTTATCTTTATTTATTTATTTATTTATTTTTGGGATCCATAAAATAAGGCATTAAAGCGAAAAACCACGAGTACAACCGTTTTCAATAAATCAAAGTTAAAAGCAAGAAGGGCACTAGTAGGTATACAATGACCCCAAACATGTGGAGATTCTAGAGAAAGACCAATGTGGGTCAAGGCATCAGCGACAAAATTAGCCTCACGGTAAATATGATTCCAATCGACCTGCCTAAAGGAGCAAGCACTACCACGGGCATCCTCGATTAACGTTTTGATCGTTTCAGGGGACCTCCCAACTTCCCTTCATTGCTTTGATAAAATTTTGGAGTCCCCCTCCACAACCACCCTCTGGAAACCCTTGGACCAAGCAAACTTAAGGCATTCTTTTAAGCCCATAAATTCAGCGAAAGTAATAGTGGCCCCATCATGGTTTAAAACACCCGCTCTCACAACATGGCCATCACAATTTATGAGAACAAAAGTCGCAGCCGCCTTGTCCTTGGACACCAATCCATCAAAATTCAGCTTTAACATATCTTATCTTTTCTAATTGCAGTTTTTATTATCCTTCATGTTTGTTCATTCCAATTTTTAATCAGTGTTATTATCTTTATACATATTCTTTGCCTGTTTATAAATTAAATTATAAAGCAAAGTAAATTAGACGTTTTTAACTTCCCTGACGTCTCTGGGCCATATTTGGTATATGTATGTATGTATGTATACAGGAAATCTGCGTGGGAGTAATTAAAAACTGTAATCTGGTTAAATGTGTTGAGAGTATGTATTTCACACCTATGTATTGTTTGGAAATTATGACATAGTATATCGTAAATACTTCAGCTTATGATGAGAGTAAAGGATGCGTTCCGACGAAGTAGTAGGTGTACGTAGACCATCTTGAACGAATGTAATCTCTTACAACATCTATTTGGTATTTGCTTAAACTTTGTGCTACATTTTGTTGGTGGGGTTTGTTGATACTGCAGTGGCAGAACTTCACTCCCCAAACAGACCGTCTCAAAACCAGGCTCAAAAGTCCAGTGATGCTCATCAGCTTATGACCGAAACCGACGGTTGGACATGATTGTAACTCCTCAATCTTAAGGTGCCAAGCTTTTCCCTTCAATTAGAGAGCTGTGATTGGCACTCCAAAACAATCATCATGCGCTTCTCCAAGTGAAATTTTTCTGTTATCCGACTTTGAATAGACATGTAGAACCATACACATAATTACAAGTCCAGTCTCATCCAAGAAAATTTGAACTGATCCACATGTAGGAAAAGAAACCAATACTAACTAGTTAATTAGCAACCTATAAAAAGTATAACCCAACTGCAACTAAGACCTGAACCCATCATTTTGAAATTGAGTTGAACTCAAACAACTGCGGCAGCTTTCGCTACAATCCCTTCTTGTACTTTTTGAGAGCCACTGAGAACATTTCCATTACTTGCATTCCCTGCTGCCTCCTCGTACGCAGCTGCATGAATACCAAGTGCAGCCCGACCAGATGGATCAGGATTTTTTGACCATTCTGCATCCCATTCCACAGCTTTTTGCTGTACTGCATGCCACACTTGGACCACCCGGAACTGTTGATCTGGCAGCAATCTGTTAAGAGATAGCAGATTGAACACACTTAATTAAACCAACCCTTAACCATTTTTCATCAAGGTGCACTATTAAACATGAGAGCAAAGAAATAGCATGCCCATCATAATTTCATTAGATACTATTTGCCTGCTTAGTACAAGAATACAGCGTGCACAGAAATCTTTCACCAACTCCATCGTGATGAACAAAAAAATGAAGCAAGATATAATGACAAGGCAAGTGTATAAAATCTCTTTCATGTAGCCCGCCTTCCTTGGCTATTCATAGAATTTGTATGTCACCTTTGGAAAGAATTTCTCAAATATTGTCCGGTAATAGTATGCTTCTTTTGTGGTAAAGAGTATTTTCAGGGTATATTCATTGATCAGCATTGGATCAGCAAAGATGACTAATTAACTATATGGAGATAAAGAAGAAGCATCTCTAATGTATTCTGACGCTGGTTTTGGAACAAAGTACAGATGGAACTCTAAATTGAATTGCAATGACATGTTCTACCGCCAAACTCTTGATTTGGACCACAAATTCAAAAAGGACATGCCTAATCAAGAGTCCAAATTAATAACCTGGAAAGTGGCAGACAACACAGACAACAGAATATTTCCATAAAAAATATCACTTCAAGTTAAAGGTGATGCTTACTTGACTGTTTGCATGATCTTTCAAGCCATCAATCCAACTGTAGCCTACGCCATCAGTGAAGTGTTCCTTCTGCCTGTACAATATGTGCTATTACCCAACCAACACAAGGTGCAAACAATTTAGCTATATATTGCACAAATTGGGCACCTCCACACCACGGAGTGAGTGGCCGGTTGATTGACCATACATTGTTGAGAGCCTAGCTGGTTTTGAAACAATGTATATATATAACCAAAAAATATTCAAGTACGGACTGTGAGAGGCTGGGTTCTCAACAACATATGAAATTTGAATACAAGACACCTTACTGACAACAATAAAACGAGTACAATAATAATCATGTATAACATGATTACTGGCACAAAAATAAAAAGTTACAAACCTTCTGCAAATATGGCTTCTGATCATCATCAAATGCATTGCGTAAGACCCACTTCTCAATTCTCCCAGGCCTGATCTGCCGTTATAAGTGCAAGTACTTAGAGGACAATGAGACCGAGCCATTTCTTAATTTGTGTCATGGATGGGAGCCACTATATGCCAAATGACAGTAGTAAACTTGGAATTATATTTTATATGAGATGCTTCATACAAAACTGAGAAATAGAAGGAAATACCAACGGTATATGTGCTATACCATCTTCCATTCTGGATCAATGTTCATGGCAATATTGATGAATTCTTTATCCAAAAAGGGCACACGAGCCTCAACACCCCAAGCTGAAGTTGATTTATTGGCCCTCAGACAGTCATACAGATGAAGAGCTTTAATCTGTCGAGTAGTTACAACAGTTCAATAAGGGGAAAAAAACTAAAGCAAATGTTAAAATGGCCATCAATAAGTAGAAGAAAGGAAGAAAAAGAACCCTGAAATATTGAAAGTACATAACCATTTGTGCAAATAAAACAAAAAAGAAACAACTAGGGGAACAGATAGTTCATGGGGTACCTTCTGACATGTTTCTTGGTGAAACTCCTCCTTGTTGGTGCCTTGTGGAAATACAAGTAACCTCCAAAAATTTCATCTGAACCTTCCCCAGAAATAACCATCTTTACTCCCAAAGATTTAATTTTTCGAGACATAAGAAA